TTCCAACGCAGCTGGAGGGTAACTTGATTGCGGTGCGTAGAGACGGGGGGATGGACCTTTGCTTGTGTGTTCTCGTGTTTCTTTTTCAGGGGTGCTTGAGGCTGAGCCACCGCGTGTTTGCAGATTTCAACATGTGCGTATTGGTTCGGAATCATGTAAGAGGGGGTGCATGTTTTCGGAGGTGGGTAACGGCCCCGTCCTCTGCTGTTTCCCCGGCAGTGTCGACAATATACGCAGGTCTGGTTCGTGCCAGCCGTCCACGTACTTGTTGTGGGTAGTGTCGTACGTTTTGACGTTGCAATGTCCGATACATTGGCCTGTATGCTTGTGCTCATGCCACTTCAGTACACGTAGTGTAGAAATGTTGAGTGACATGCATGAGAACAACCACAAGACCCAAGTCTATCACCCACCTCTCCCTCCACGGCAGTCACATGGGGGTGGTGCACCAAGGAGTGTGGTTGGAACTGAAGCTGATCAAATGTACTCGGCACTAATATGAAAAAAACACAAAACGCAAGNCCGACAGGTGCAAGACAGCACAGCGAAAATATGAAACAACCCACGCGACAACACCATCTTCAAGGCGGGAACGTCTTACTAAACACCGCGTGTAGCAAAAAAAAACAAACGGCTTGCAACAGATACCCGAGGCAGCGGCGTGGTAGCAAAAAGAAGAAGGCTCACGTGGGCCTCGAAAGCCATGTAATGTTGTTGTGTCTCTTCCGGTAAGAAAGCTCTCGATTAGTTGTTTCTTGAGCTCTCTGTGCGCCGGGTGCTGGTCGATCGTCTCGCTGCTTTCCTCCCCCCCCTCCCCTCCCTCCTTCTCCGAAAGCTTCCCGGTCGATCCGATAGACGTGAAGTCTGTCAGTGGGTCATGGTCCCAGGGGTCGTGCAGGCCAGCGCTCCCCACCCAGTCGACATCTTCCTCGAACACGTCCATGCCGTCGAAGGTGTGAAGCATGTTGTGCAGGATGCAGCAGGTGGAGAAGATGTTGTCGATGTCTTCCTTGGAGCGGTACCCGAGGCGGAGCTTGAGGATCCTGAAACGTCCCTTCAGGATACCGAAGAAGCACTCAACGTCCTTGCGCACGCTCTCAAGCGTCCTCGAGAAAGCAGTGTCCTCGCTGTTCGCCGGGTACTTGGACGGAGCGATGAGGGTCACCCACTGTTCGGCAGGACAAATAACAGCGGGATTATAAACAAAAATTCCGGCAGGTAGGGGCTTAGATGTAGGTTATCCGCACTTTGATTGACTACAATACATGAATATCATGCGGGCAACGCATGATCCACACCATAGCTTGGCACTGCGGGCGAGGTCACTATTGGCTGAAAAAACCGCCTGCCTGGTGCGGGTTGAATGAGTCGTGCTTCGACCTGTGAACACCAATCTGCTTGTGGCCATCTACGCATCCAAACGATCAAACGTGCCGAATCCGGCGCGGCCGTGTGTACATTACTTGAGCATGCGTCGACAGAAAAATCTGCAGCGTGACTTCATAACTTGCCCGACTTCTACACACACCATCGATGTGTGATGTGTTACGTTGTGGTATCCACGTTGTCCCCATTTCCCGGCATCAAGTAGGCGTAAGCGGAAGGAGATTTTTTATGTTTGGTTGGCGGAAATAACGCTCTCTGAGGCCGACAAACGACAAAGTGAACTGGGTCTGCCTACGGTTGAACTACAGTAGCCCTGCTCGAGTGTTTCACGCCAGGGGATAATCCTCTCTCATTCTATTAGGATGGCCAAGTGAATTTACCTCGTGGTACCCGTTGTCAACGATTAAGTAGCACCCCTTGCGCTCCCGAAATGTTCCATCCGCCCTCCGGAGCTTGTACGTGCGCTTCGTGTACTGGAAATCCGCCTTGATGACGTGGACACCTGCGTCGTAGCGGATGATGGTCTTGTCATTAGTTGCTCCGGTGAAACCGCTGGTGATCGCGATGGCTCGACCCGCGTGGTCGACTGTCACTTGGTAGGCGATGGTCGGGAATCCTTCCTTGCCCGTATAAGAACGGCCAAGGGTGAACGGGCACATGCCCCATCCGATGTGGGTCACGTCGGTAGATCCGATGGCCCCCGTCATCCCCAGCTTGTCGTACATGCACATGACTTCATCCTGGTACGATCCGGTAGGAAGGTAT